GAAAAAATAGTTGATGGCACCAGAATGAGAGAGAATCTTTTACGGAAGAGGGTCTGTGTAGACCTCTACTTGACCTCATGTCAAATCAAGGCTAGTTCATAGTCCCAAAAAACGTACAGAAAAAAATGCTTTTTACTTGATGGTTACACCACATGGCATTTTAGAGGCATTAAATTCAACTTTTTACTACAAAGAGTAGGTTTCTAAAAACTTGTAACATGTTTTTAAATTTTTCCTCATTATCAAGGACACTCTAATATGTCATTGACCTGTTTATTGGTACACCGCTAGCAAGTATGTTAATTAAAAAAAACCTACAGACACAAAATCTAAGGAGGGTTTCAGGTGGATATGAGTGGCCTGTAGCAAAGATCTCTCTAAAGGGTTTTGGAGTGTAAATGGAGCCTTTTACCACTTCTGCCTCAGAGCCTTTATCCAGCCATCTGAGAGCATCAAGTGCCCAGTCCTGCGTCGCTAAGGCAGGTGCGGCACTCCACTGCAGGTTAAACGGGACATTATATCCACCGCAATTAAAGATTTCTGTATACTGCAGGACATTTGCTGTCCTTCATGATTGTTCCTTGTCAGACTGTGCAATATGACCCCATTGCGATCTTGTGTGATTGTGAAAGACTGTGTGACATCTTTTATGTCAACTGTACGATGTGCATCTTAGCTAAGACTTTGGTTATGATTGACAGCCATGACTGGGCGTTTTACAGTCCCCATCACATTCTGACATCCTCATTGACACGCAAAATTGAAATGGGCTGCTCAAACAAAAGCAAGCTGTTTTTTTTATTTAAAGTGTCTGGAGTCTGTGGCTAGGCTAAAGAAGATGTCATTCTTCACACCAGACACCAGAGATCATTTTGATAGTATGAAAATAACTTGAGGGCTACAAAGACATTTGTGTTAAGCATATCATATAGACAAGTATTTTCAACTGAACGTCTCTCTCTCCTTCTCACTCTGTCTCTTTTGGTTTCTATCCAGACACACACACACACACACACACACACACACACACACACACACTGATAAGGTCATCAATTGCTGCGCTCCAATTGGTTCTTCATTTGATGGGTGTCATAAGAGTAGTTGCACTGGAGAAATGTGGCCCACATATTTTAACATTACCAGAACCCAGTAAGAGAAAATTCATCGCAAAAGCAATTAATTGGTCATCATTGAGCATGTCATATTAAGACTGCAGATTCTGAATTACAACTTACTTGTTTTTACGATCTGCAAATTTTCTCAGTAAGCAAAAACATGGCAAAAATTCTAGAATGGTGTCTTTGGGTTAGCCCACTGTACAGTGAACATGTTAAACAATTATCAAGCGCATAAAGAAATTAAAAGAAAGCATACACCAAAAAATAAAAACATTCTCTTGGTATTTGTCTTGTTTTCCAGTAAAATACATCTAAACATCATTTAAAGGATGCATTACCTTGAGAAGCAAAATTGTGTAAAATAATAATAATAATAAATGTGAAATATATTTCAAGTACCTCACTAAATTTGGCAGTTATTTATGGGATAAGAAAAATAAATTAGATTTTTTTAACCTTTGTTTGTTTAACCTTGGTGTTGTTAGCACCATGCTCTACCAGTTGGGCTACAAGAACACATTTCACAAAAACTCTGATTAGGAAGATCAAAAACAAATGTTGATGCCATGAAAATGATTTAAATTAAAAATGGGGTTTTGTCACGTACATGGAAAACACTCATATTAGGCCAATGTAAACTAATGTTTAAAAGTCTGGTGTCAGTGCAAATGTTTTAATGTTTTTGAAAGAGGTCTGCATTTATTTAATCAAATATACAGTAAAAACAATAATATTGACAGGTATACTATTGTTATAGTAACTGTTTTTTTTTTTTTTAATACATATTTTTAATAGGCTCTAACATATTCAAATGTAATTTATTCCTGTGACGGCAAAGCTGAATTTTCAGCAGCCATTACTCAAGTCTTCAGTGTCACATGATCCTTCAGAAATCATTCTAATATGCCGATTTTGGGCTCAAGAAACATTATTATCAATGTTGAAAACAGTTGTGCTGCTTAATATTTTTCAGGAATCTGTGAATAGAAAGTTCAGCAATTATTTGAAACAGCAATTATTAGTAAAATTAGGACTTCACTCTCACTTTTTGTCAACTGAATGGCTCCTCGGTGAAGATCACTTTCTTTAAAAAAAATAACTTTAATATTAGTTTGTTGTGATAAGGTGGAAACTTTTCTCAAGATCTTACCATAAACTAAAACCTACCTCAGCTCTTGGCTTAAAAATTAGTTTGAGGTCCTCCATGTCACACCTTCTTCAATATATATAATGGGAAAAGTAAAGAAAAGTGTTGTATTGGATATAGGCTCTAACATATTCAAATGTAATTTATTCCTGTGACGGCAAAGCTGAATTTTCAGCAGCCATTACTCAAGTCTTCAGTGTCACATGATCCTTCAGAAATCATTCTAATATGCCGATTTTGGGCTCAAGAAACATTATTATCAATGTTGAAAACAGTTGTGCTGCTTAATATTTTTCAGGAATCTGTGAATAGAAAGTTCAGCAATTATTTGAAACAGCAATTATTAGTAAAATTAGGACTTCACTCTCACTTTTTGTCAACTGAATGGCTCCTCGGTGAAGATCACTTTCTTTAAAAAAAATAACTTTAATATTAGTTTGTTGTGATAAGGTGGAAACTTTTCTCAAGATCTTACCATAAACTAAAACCTACCTCAGCTCTTGGCTTAAAAAAAAAAATCTAATTTTGCACATATTCTTGATTGGGTGTTATCAAGCCTTTTTGTGCAGATTCTTGCTCCTAGTCGGGGCATTTGATGTCACATCTCTACACGCAAGCTTATTAAGATATTGCACAAGTTTGAGGTCCTCCATGTCACACCTTCTTCAATATATATAATGGGAAAAGTAAAGAAAAGTGTTGTATTGGATTAGCATTTAGCAGAGCCAGAAGATGCATGAAAACAACCTCTGTCAGCAACCACAGCTCCTCATGTTTCCCAAAACACCTTCTAAGAAAAAAAAAAAAGAATCAAGGCATTGATCCCATTACACTAATGACTCCTCTGCATTCCAGCGCACCTGGTGTGGGCCGATTTGACACTGAGCCAGAACGAAGAATATTAAAGAATTGTGTAATTTCTTTACCCGAGGTGTTGTATTAAATTATAGTGGTTCAGGGCCAAATGGTGTTTCAGATGCTTGGACGGAGATCATGCGACTAAAAGCTGATGTGAGATTAAACTGCCTTCTTTAATCCATTTTGCAATCAGGTTGATATGGCTGTCATTAGAGCTGTTGCCTTGCCTGCTTAAGGTTATTCATCGCTTCATTTGAGAAAAAAAAATCATAAATGGGGTAGTCAAATCATCTTGGTGAGTGATGAATAGCATATCTATTTGGCATATCATTTATTCAAGAGCGTATGAACACTGCAGATCAATTTACGTGCATGCATGACCAAACTGCAGGCAGTACCACTGGCTGTTAGAGACTTCCCACCACAACCTCTCTATTGCCCATGTTTTGTGGGTAAAGTGTGAGGTCATTAGCATCTTCCTGCTTTAGTGACTGCACCGCAAAGATCCCCTAGCGGTGCTAAAAGCATAATCACATGTATTTGACTTCATGCACCATACTGGATATGTGTGGGGAGGCTGATGTCACACCGTAGGACTTGTATCCTCTGCACATCTACAGTCTTTGATCTTATCAGTGGCCAAAATCCTACTCCCCTTGATGGAGGACACTGGAAAGCTGTCTAAAACATCTGTTCTTGTATATCCTCAATTCTGAAACACACACTGAAAGGTCAAAACCAAGAGTCATATATCTTCGCTGCTAAAGGCGGGGTTTAAAGGGACAGTTCATACAAAATGAAAAGCATCATTTACTCACATACACATACATCAAACCAACAAGTTTCAAGGAAAACAAAAGGAGATGTTAGATCAAGTTTCAAAATAAAAATAATCATATCAAAAGAATCAATAGCCGGATTTCCATCCAAAGTTGCGAATTTAACTTATGTGCAAAATTGAAATATCGCATAAAACATTTGCAAATAAGCACCGTTTCCATCCAACGAGTCAAAGAGATCAAAATCGTCACTTCCTGGTAGAACGTCTCGGTTACGTATGGTAACCCTCGTTCCCTGACGGAGTGTGCAACCCACTCGACACGGGAAACCACCACCGCTGAAGCGCCGTACCGCCAACACGAAGAGCCAAGAGCGCGCTGAACTCGTTCAGTCTTCTTCTCTCAGTAGAGTAGTCAGGAGCAGAACGATGTGATCGCTCGGCTCCGAAGCGAAAAGCTGAATATGCGCTGCATCTGCTGCCTACTATACTCACCCTGTGATCAGCGGCAGCTGGATGCCATAATCGCATGCCAATGTGCATTGGCTCGTTTAGTTTACACTCGAAGTAGATTGGTCTCTCTAAGCGAGATCCCAATTCGTCGGTCATCCGACGTGACGTCGAGAGTGACCGACTGAAAGGGAACTGGCGCTATATATGACTAACAAAACTAGGAGAAGCCAATCATTTTCATATATAATAAATTACTTGTGCCTCAAAGCGAGCAGACGAAACAAAATAAATGCGGTCATTGCTTTCGGAGGTGGATGCTGCTGTTTGGTGTTCGGTCATTGTAACAGTTCTGGGAGGCAATTACACAGAAATACTTTGATGGCAGACTTTGCTTAGACATTTCAAAATGACCATAACAACATTTAAAGTGCCCCTACTATGGATTTTTGAAAATTACCTTTCATGCAGTGTATAAAGAGTCGACCCTGTATCAATGAAACGAGTCATTTTTAAAACGAAATAACAAATCCCAAGCCATTTCATGTTGATGTCAACATGAAACATTAGCATATTGCCCGCCCACTTGTTGTGCGCGCAGACCCGGGAAAACTTGAAAACTTGGTCTGAATGAAAATGCAAATTCATTCTTTGCCACTAGGTGCCGCTTTTGGAGCGGTAAAAACAGCTGTTTCCCCGGTAACAGCTGTACACAAAACAGCACTGCGCTTACAAACCTTTGACCTTGCATGCATGTCAACAAGTTGTTGGGGACTCCCAAAACCAAAATACGAACCTTTCATAACCCATAATAGGGGCACTATAAGATGCTGTGGAACAAGATCGGTCTGCTGGTTAGTCAGGTTTTGCCGTCCCATAGCGCAGAGTCACATGACTTTTTTGATGCGCATGGAGGAATTTACTCCGCAAATGCATTTCCATCTCCCATTATTCGCATTAACCCTTTTTCGCAAAAACCAACTCAAGCGAGCGTAAAAACTTTTTTATTACAAATTTGGTATTTCCATCACTCGTTTTTTATGCGATACTTCAAAATGCGCATAAAAACAGGGTGATGGAATGGAAACATAGCTAATGAGGCTTTTGTGTTATATTCCAAGTGCTCTCAGGTCATATGAAAAAATAGTTTAAATTAATTTAAATTTCAAATTTCAAAAACTCAAACTTGCCACATCACAATTAAATTCTGTTTGCTATTAATAATAATAATAATAATTCATTACATTTATATAGCGCTTTTCTAGGCACTCAAAGCGCTTTACATTGTCAGGGGGTATCTCCTCATCCACCACCAGTGTGCAGCATCCACCTGGATGATGCGACGGCAGCCATAGTGCGCCAGAACGCCCACCACACACCAGCTTATTGGTGGAGAGGAGACAGAGTGATGAAGCCAATCAGTAGATATGGGGATTGTTAGGAGGCCATGATGATCAGAGGCCAATGGGCAAATTTGGCCAGGATGCCGAGGTCACACCTCTACTCTTTTCGAAAGACATCCTGGGATTTTTAATGACCACAGAGAGTCAGGACCTCGGTTTAACGTCTCATCCGAAGGACGGTGCTTGTTGACAGTATAGTGTCCCCGTCACTATACTGGGGCGTTAGGACCCACACAGACCACAGGGTGAGCACCCCCTGCTGGCCTCACTAACACCTCTTCCAGCAGCAACCTAGTTTTCCCAGGAGGTCTCCAATCCAGGTACTGACCAGGCTCAGCCCTGCTTAGCTTCAGTGGGTAACCAGTCTTGGGCTACAGGGTGATATGGCTGCTGGCATCAAATAATTAATGAAAGAATTAATGAAAGAACAAAGAATTTGATTAATGACATCAAATAATTTTTAAAAGTACACTATGTAACTGTGTATTCTCTACTGACATTTGTGACACTGACATCTGAAGTTGAAAATGGCCATATTTAAATTAAGGAACATTGCTTTTTTTAAAAAGAACTTCCTTATGCCAAGGCTGCATTTATTTGATCAAAAACACACTAAAAACAGTAATATTATGAAACATTCAATTTAAAATATTTTATTTTTTGAATATTTACCATTTTCTATTTAAATTAAAATGTAATTCATTTCTTTGATGGCAAAGCTAAATTTTCAGGAGCCATTACTCCATTCTGCAGTGTCACATCATCCTTCAGAAATCATTCTAATATACTTATTTGATGGTGGTAAAAATTGTATTATCAATGTTTTTTTGTGAAAACTGCAATACATTTTTTTTAGGATTTTTTGATGAATGGATAGTTCAAAAGAACAACATTTACTTAAAATTGTAATGTTTTGTACCATTACTGTCACTTTTGATAAATTAATTTCTTTTAAAAAAAGAAAAGAAAAGTAAAAAATGTACTGACCCCAAACTTTTCAATGACAGAGTAAAGCCAAAACATTTTTAAGTCTCTTTTATGTGCTTTTTGTCCAATTTATCTGTTTGGCAGTCACCAACCACTTTCTTTGCATGGAAATAAGCATCTCACAGACCTCTTCACAAAAGAAAAAAGAAATATGGAATGACATGAGGGTGAGTAAATAATGACAAAATGTATTTGTCATCACTTGTCACTTCTGGGTGCACTATTCCTTTAATTGCCACTGATCTTGTAGTACTGACTAATGTCTTCTCTGACTCAACCAGTTTCACCAGCACACTCAATCCCTATTTTACTCAATCCATATTTCGGCAGTACCATCAATTTATCCATCCTCTCAGACAAGTAAACAGCCACTGGTGCGATTTTCCATGGAAATATAGTGCACCTGCTTTCCGCCACTGACACCTGTCTGTAATCTCTACTCAACTCTTATCCAGCTCTCATATGTAAACCCCTGCAAGGGCTGCGGCATTTCAGCTACAGATGGTGGACGGATTTTTGATGGATTGAATGCTGCCAATGATCAGCAGGGTGATAGCAGCGGTCCATGCAGTTGCACAGTGACACAGAGGAGTGATGTGTGCTAACTAGGGCTGGGTATCGTTCAAAATTTTGAGAATGTGGGCAACCACGCCATCGTTTTCAAAATCTCCGTTTTGGTCCGTTTACACTGAAACGCAATCCCGGAGTTTTCGAACTAAAACGGGGTTTGCAGCGTTTTTCAAAATTCTCACACCCTGCCAAATTACCGTATGCACCCCCTAGTATTGGTAGATTTAGGAGTAGGTGTGGGGGAGGAGTTAGGATTAGGGGAGGGGTTGGGATTAGGCAATCAGGTAGCGATTTAATTGAGGAGGTGCATAATCTGGCAGGGGTGCAGAATTCGGCACAACACCGGCAAGTGCTGCAGGCTTATTGGCTCACTGACGCTGATGAGATTAACCCCTTAGGTATCGAAATTTGGTACCGAACGACAAGACGTTTTTCGATACTCGATGGTATCGAGGCAATTCGGTCGGTGCCTAAAAAGTATCGAACTCGATACCCAGCCCTAGTGCTAACACTAGGAGGAAAGTGTCCTCAGGCATGCTATTTTTGCTGAAAGCTTGAGGGAAACACATCTGACCTGGCTCTCTCGAAGAAGCATAAAGGTAAGTTTCATGGTTCTATCCCTTCTTCCAAACAATATAGAAAAATCTTCCAAAGGTACTGCCAGCCAGTGCAGATGAGAGGCTTGAGAGAAATAGATTCTTTGAAAGGAGCAGGGGGAAAATTGCAAATAGTGTGGGTATGTGCAATCGTGTGCTGCAGGATACAAAAGGCCACTGAAGAGCAGACTCACTGCACTTGTGATGCCGTTACCTGCAAGACCATTTGAAAGCTCCTTTGAGATGATAATATCGCCAGTGCAATCACATGAGTTTCAGTGCAAACTAGACTTGTGCCGGTATTCGGTAATGCGATATATCAAAAAAGTTATTAAACCTGTTATACTGTATTATGACAGCACTTTTTTAAAACTACATTTCAATATCGTGATAATACCGCATACCGTGATGAAAGCATTAGCAATTAATCGCAACGTGAAAATTTGATACCGGCATATCCCTAGTGTAAACACGAATCACTGAGCAAAGCCAGATTTCTTAAAACTGACAGTATTGAGTGCCATATTTGAGCATTTAGACTCGGAAAATGTGAGTCACAAAAGCATAAGCATTGCGATATTCAATTAATAGACAACAAAATACAGAGAGTGAGCTTGTGCACATACTGAAAGAAAAACAAACATGGCATGGAAAAGCACACATCACAGACTAATCCTCCTTTGGCCAAATTTGTCCAGACAGACTCGTGCCTGGCAGTGCAGCGAAGCACGTCGTGAGGACAGTAAATGATAAAGACATCAATCAGAACGAGGCGCAACCCCTGGTCAAAGGGAAAGGTGTTGAGAGAGGGAATGAAACCGTGAGTCTCCAGTCACCATTTTGTATAGCTCTGTATTGATCCTCTCGCCGATAAGGAAAGCAGGGCCAGAAAAAAATGTCCCAGTTTCATTTATCACACACATAGACGCTGAGGAACACATCGTCTGGCCCTGCAGGGAGAAAGGCTGCTCAGAAATAGCCTGAACTCAAAAAGACAAGATATGAACGCAACACATGGATCCGAGTGCGGCCACTTCACGCCTACCTTCATTATGCAAACGCATTTGTCATAAGAGTGCAAAAAAAAACTTGCTCAGATAGATGGATGTTAGTGGGAGGGGTGAAGCAGGGGATTTTGGCGCAGAACGAAGAGACTGTAACCCAAACCGACCGTTTGAACGTGTCCTTCTCCAGTTCTCCTTCTCTTCATATCTGCCTGAATATAGAGATATCCCTGTCAAGTGCTCCAGGGTACAGCTGTCAATCACCATGTGACAGAAATGGGGGAAACTGGTGCATGAGTCAATTAATATTCAGAGTGGATCTACATTTAGTCCACAAGTGCAAAAGCAGAAGTAGGAGGGGCATTAGAGGGATGAAACAGGGATGAAGGGGGGACTTTGATGATGCCATTAAACTTGAAATGTGGATGAACTCATGATGCAAATGATGCCATTAGTTATGCCTCAAATGTTACTGTGGACTCGGCAAACTTGAATTACCTCCTATATCAACAAACAAATGACTTAATTAGCTGGAAACGCATAGAAGTTTGTTACAAATGCCAAGCAACACACAAATGAAATATCATCCGGCTTTTACACTCCTGGCCAACAATAATTACATTCTCGCTAATCGCTATTCAACATATGTATTATTGTCTACTTAAGCAATTCAAAGGGTGATTTCGTTCATAACTAAGATAAACCCACAGCTTTACACTTACTCAGTCATACTTTTACGCATAAAACAGCTGGCTTCGCGATAAAAAAAAATAAAAAAATAAAAAACGAATCACGCTTACCAGCATACTCACCAGAGTTTGCTGGTACTGAAGCATGCGCTGAGGGGCTCGGTCTCGCGCCATAACCGTGCATACAGCGAGAATAAAATATTTAAACGCTATACGGTATTCCCAAAAGCCATAAAATCACCTCTGCATCACCGGGACGCAATTCAACAAGTAGCATGAACTGAGTAACAGGTCCTTCTCCGCAGAAAACAGCCCAGCAGCCTATGCAGCTGTCAATTGAACTCTTCCCTCTTCCCGCGCGCGCACTGCAACATATGCCATAACGCGCTGGAAACCCACTTTGTGTGGGAAGACAGGGGTTACTACACTTCATACCTGTTGACTCGATTGTCAAAAATCAATACATATATTTTCTACCGCTGTGTGAGTAATCGCTATTTTGCACTACCGTGAACTCAAGCACTTAACGCGTAGATTACGCATGCCAGGCTGTTTTATGACTACGTTTTAATGACCCGAGGCAGGAACAGATATGTTTTCAGTTTATCATGCAAAGATTTGTTATTTACAATGGGAGAAAACCTTAAATGGATACTCAAAGAGCTGAATAATTTTCTATTGAAATTGGGATGCACCTGTTACCCTCCTAAATGAACTGATATGGAATGACATAGAACATCTTCACTTTGAAAGCCTGTGGAGAGCCAATGGGCAGTTCATTACACCGCTCATTAATATTACAGTAAATACTAAATATAGATGCAAACTTGAAATGCATATGATGCATCGGCCCACGAGCACAGAAAGACAGAATTCCTTGGAGAGAGAGAAAGAAACCAATAGGCTGTTAAACAGATTTCCCTACAGAGGCAGAGACTGGTATGCTGCTTTTGTGGTCAGGTCTACTGCCAGCTCAGGGAACAGCAGGGATGAAATATGAATGTATCACTGTGAATTCTGACAGTTTTCTTGCAACACTGCAGTGTTTTTGTGTATAAGTGTTCGAGCTCTCTCTCTCCTCCATGCATGCTCATGCATACAGAACTCAAAATCCCTGTCCTCATAAATACTGATAGAAACAACATGTCGTTGTGTTTGCAGCTGTCATCAAACAGATCATTTCAAAGTCATATCTGGTGGTAATACTGCTATTTCTAATGTCACTGTTTAACAGTTCTTCACAGACACTGTTCTTTAAAGGTATAGTCCACCCAAAAAGCAACAGTTCTGTCATTATTTAATCACTGTAGTGTTGTTCTGAATCTTCTGTGGAACACAGAAGATATTTTGAAACAAAACAGAACAAAACAAAAAGGTTTTTTTGTCCATACCATGAAACTCAATGTAGTCCAATGTTGTTTAAACCACTACTTTTTCAAAATATCTTATTTTGTGGTCCACAGAAGGAAATGAATTTTCATTTTTGAATGAACATAATATCTTTAAGATTAGTAGTAAATAAACAGACCTTATTTCTTTGTGTCTTTATACATCATACTGCACTGTGCAAACCATCTTCACTTAACTAATGTTTGTGCACAAAGGCTACGTCACGTGGTATGGACAGGTGAGCATCCCTGCCCGTTTGCATTCCTTTGAATTGGGTGTTCCAACGCCCTCAGCATTAACACACTGACCCAATTTGATGCATCTTGCACAAAACTTTCTGAATGTTCTTTTAATGAATTGCGGAAGCCCGAAAGAGTTCAAAAGAACATCTTGTTCATTGACTATTTAAATATGGGTCTGGGTGCGAAAATGAGACGTCGATCCGTAGTGGGGGTGTGAAACAAGGGTCGATATTAGATTACATACAAGTATTGCCATCCCAGACAGGGAATAAGAACCAGTGTGCATAAAACTCAATAGCGTGTGGCTCTCTTCTGCTCTGCCAAAATGGTTTTAGCTCATTCAAAATTCTACGAGTGTAAATACATTCAGGTTGGAAATACACTGTATTTTGTGATTTGAACAGACAAATAATGTACAAATGCTATAAAAACCAATGAAATTTTCAACTAAACAGTTAATTAATTAACAAGTTAATTGCATATACAATAAAATATATTAAATAAAAATAATACATATATAATTTCACTATAGAATACTGTAAAAATACTGTGCACTGAGTCACTCTAAGTAGCATTTTTTGTTATTTATTTAAAGTCGGCATGAAATGGAAGTTGTGATTTTCTTCTCTACTGTGACGTATATCCGAGTGAAACGGCATCTGAAATGAGAGGGCGGGACTTGATTTCATCTTTCGGGAATTGATTGGATCGTTTGAAGTTGGGGCGTTGCTAACAAAATGGAGGCAGATCTGAATGCCAGTTTGCAGTTAGTGGTGAGGGATTTCTCTCCATTGGATTCACAGCCGACACCCAAGCATGAATAAATGTTTTATTTATTAAGGATGATGACGATGGCAATGGCACAAAACATGCCTAAACAGCGAGAGAGAGAGAGAGAGAGAGAGAGAGACTGCCTGAATGACTGAGCGCGTCCTCCATCAGGTCATATTCATGAAAAAAATTTGTAGTAGTGCAATGTCCTAAGAGTAATGTTGTCGTAATATCCTAATATCTTTTCAATGTTTAGGGGTAACGTACTCCCTCATGACTGGTGTCAGTACTATAAAGTGAAGCATCAGCTTCAGCTTTTCCCCATGTCGTTTATCCCAGCGTTTACCCCTCACGTCACTAGCTCCGCCCTTGCGCCATAGCTCGTGACCGGAAGAGAAGATGAGTCGTTTTGAGGGGGAGGGGAGGTTAACTGATTAAAGATTACGAGGGCACATGAATTTTAAAAAAAAATAATGAAGTGTGGATAAATTATTTATAATAAACACTACAGTATTCCATTAAAAAATATGAATTTTCCATTTTGATTTCATGGTGACTTTAATGTTTAATGTGTTACATTAGTGTCATGTGAGTTACCCTGATGGTGTTTTGTGTTTGTGTGGGCAACACTGTGCTCTGTCTTCAAGTTATTATTAATCACTGTTGCTGGAGAGGCCAATGTTGCTGAACTTTAAGTCATCATGTGGCCTTCCAGTGTACCATTTGTATCTTATCAGCACATTACAACAAACAGATTATACATCAGATAGGTTATTATAACACATTATATAGCAGAATGACATATACACTCTTAAAAATAAAGGTGCTTCAAAAGGTTCTTCAAACGATGCCATAGAAGAACCATTTTTGGTTCCACAAAGAACCATTCAGTCAAAGGTTCTTTAAAGAACCTTCTCTTTCTTACCTTTTTATAATCTGAAGAACCTTATTTCGCCACAAAGAACCTTTTGTGAAACAGAAAGGTTCTTCAGATGTTAAAGGTTCTTTATGGAACCATTTAGACAAAAAGGTTCCTCTATGGCATCGTGAAGCACCTTTATTTTTAAGAGTACACTTAGAAACTCTGAATTTGGTCTCCAAAATGCCATCCTGTAATGCTTGTAATATCTTCAGTGTATTTTTATGGTAAAGTTCTAGCAAATACAGCTGACATTTTTACCATAAATTTACTGTGTGCATAATTTTTTTAATCAAACTTGTGTTGATAGCTATTTATCAACTCCACATGATACCAAATCAATCAAGTTGGGAGATAAAGTTTCTCTCCAAGTTATGAGATTTTTCACTCTCCTGAATGTGAAGTGAACTCTTCAATTTCCAATTTCAACAGAATTTGTCCCCTAAGTGAATGCAGAGGTGGAGATATCGATTTCAGTTTTAAACTATGTAGATGCAAATATAAATAATTTGTTTCTTGCGCTTCAGATTACTCCAACACAAAGGAAGGACCTTGAAGGGACATCGGATGTAAATATATAAACGACTGAATCCACAGGGTTTCTTGAGAGCGATAGAACATCATCTTGCATAGAGTCGGTCTGACAAAATTGTGCCTATTTGTCCTCATTAGAGGATCTAGACAAGAGAATCAGGCGGCTGTTCAACTCCCTGCACGAATAACACTGTGCCCTTGAGCTCCACAAGATAACCAAGTCGATCAAATGCCCTTCGGAACAAGAATGACATGCAAAAGCTTCAAAAAGGCTAACGGGTTGTTCTAATGGCAGTTGAGTGACTTCTAACGCGCTTTAACAGCGCAGTTTATCGGCAGCAATATTGGACACCTTAACAGGTTGCTATTTCGTCTTTGGCGGCTACTTACATTTTTCCGCGCCTGCTTTTAGTCTTGGAAAGAGCTCCTCTTCAACGCAACAGTCCAAACGTCACCTACGCCGCTCCATTTAATGACGCAAAAATGTAAGAAATCTCCACACAATTAGAACAACGCAATCAGTATCGAGTAATGACGTCAGTGCTGTTCGGTCCCAATTGTTCGTCTAGACGATCAAGATACTTTCTGTGTAATTGTCCTCGCGGGTGAATTGGCAGTGCCCTGCTGCTGATGCCTCTCGCTCGTCTTTGAATTCGCCTCAGACTGGAAGCTAAACTTCAAAAAAGCCAAGCGCTTCCCTTAAAACATACTTGTCGGTGTTAATGCATCACCTAAACGCTTCGGATTAGTGTGCACTGCACGCGCTGATAGGTAAAGGAGTAATTAAGCCGGCAGAGCCTGGGGCGCGTGCACTGGCCAGGAATTGATTCTGTGATGCAATGCGGGTTCCGTCACAGGTTTAGTTATAGCGGGTTGACTCCGCTTCTGTTCCTATGCCTGTCATCAATGCCATGTGATGGCGCATTTGTCTTCATCAGTGCATTGTGCTGATGTCATTTTGACAGAATGTTCAGTTTTAAAGTGCTTACTAAGTTTCACTTTATCTATCTATATATCTATATCTCTCTCTGTCTATCTATCTATCTATCTATCATGGGATGTAGAAACCACTTACCATCCGGATGTCCAATCATCCATCTGTCCTACCATCCATCCATCCATCCATCCATCCATC